AAAATGAAAAAAAAGGAAACAAAGTCTTTGTAAATAGGAAGGGGTGGAGGGGTTGAAGGGAGGGCGGAAGAATGGGGAAAAAAATAAGAACCAAGATAGAGTATGTAAAGGTACAAATTCCCAATGATGAATGTCATTATATTGTATACCTAAAATGTACCAATAAAATTAATAATAAAAAATAATTTGGAGGCCATAATAAAAAATAGTAGTTTATTTTCATTGCCTTAACTGGCTGAACTCATAATTTAATATTTTCCTTAACTGATTTATTCATCCGTGAAAGTTAAACACCTTCTCTTAAAAATCGGGGTACAGACCAGCTGCCAGCTTGGCCGAGTGGGGCCGAGTGGGGCCGAGTGGGGCCGAGTGGGGCCGAGGGCTTGCACGCTGACTGGGACCTGCTTCCTCCAGCTTGTTCCACCAGCTTGTGACCAAGACAGGCTTGCAACCAAGACAGGGTGAGGAGGACCCCCCCCCCAGGCACACCCACCAGCTGCCAGCTTGGCCAAGTGGGGGCCTCCAACAACAGGCTCCATCCCCACCCCACCCACCTGCCTCTGGCCTTTTGGCTGTGCTGCTTCTTGGTTCCACACTGCAGAGGCACAGGGGGACATAAAAGCCATTGTCCTGAGCTGCAGAAGTGAACAACGGAAAGGGCCTCTCTCAGGCTTCCTGATGAAAACAAGCCCACTGGAAAAGTGAAGAGAATCTCTGCACTAAAGGCACACCAGACCTCCATGCTTGGTAAGTTGGAGAGATCGTCAGCTTCCATTTGAACCTGGACTTTCTTCAGGGGAAAGACAGCTGAAATCTGCAATAGAACCTTGCAGAGTGCAACCCTGCAGGAGGACAGGGAGCTCAACTTGAGACTTGCAGCCAGAAATCTGCCTGAATCGCATGGGTCTGGGACCAGCTTACTGAGATTCATTGACTTATAACTGCATACTGCTGCCCACGTTGTCTATTGTGACAGCAGAGACATAATCTGAAGGAGGCCCTTCATTTTTAAAGGTGATAGATTA